CCATTGTTTTTCTCCCTGGCCCCACCAGCCGCCTCTCTTGCCATTGCCTGGTTCATCCTCTCTTACCCTCTGGTTAGCATTTTTATTAGAAAATGAGCAACTTCAGTGATTATATGGAAGAATTGTGTCCAGCTGCTCAAACCCACCGAGTTTCTGTTTTTAGCTTCTCCCCCACTTAAAAATAGGCAGCAGCAGGTCCCACTTGCCAAGCCTTTGTCACAGTCCCCAGCAGCCATTCCTCCAGCCATCTGCTGCCCCAGCTGTGCCGCCTGTCCCCACCTCCAGTCTCCGCCCACACACAGCCCTGTGTGGACACGCACAGAGCCCACGAGCCCGGCAGCCTCCAGCCGCACTGCACCATCTGCCTCCCTGCCCCGCGTGTGTTCCAGCTTCGCTGCTGACCCAGATTCTGCAGCCCATGACCCCTGGCCCGGCTTTTTGCCCCAGACAATCCTGGACTTTGCAGGCACGGGATGTTGACTGGAAAAGATGGAGGAGTTGCCGTGGAGATAGGAATAAACACAAGGAGCCATGCACACCTCACAGCAGGTGTGACAAACCTGCTGTCACAAACTAGGTTGACAGAAGTTTGGTTCAGCTCTAAGAGTTAGTTGGTGGAATCACACTGGGTGTCAGGGAAAAAATAAGGGTTCCTTGGTATGGGTTACGTTATTCACCTTTGGACGTCAGTGTCTTAGAGGGAAGTTTCAAGCCACTTCCAAGTGTCGTTAAAACATCCCCACATACCATCTCTGTTTCTTGGGTCAGAGAGAGCTTCCTTAGACAGAGGAATTGCAGGTCTACCTGCACTCTGGGTATTCTGAGGGGCTTGCTCTATCCAGGCCCTCAGACCCAAAGAGTGGGTTGTGTTGGCATTCACATGGGAGAGACTGCCCCAGCCCACCCCTCAGTCATGCGAGTCAGAGACCCTGGGGAGAGCTGGTCACCCCTGCTTGGAAACATGGTGATTCTTTCTAACTTGCCCCACCTCCCATACTTTTCTTTCCTCTGAGTTTCGGGGCATTGGGGTGAGGAGGCTTGGGAACTGGTGGCTGCACCTTGCCCATCTGTGGCTGGGGCACAGGAGACAACTCCTCACTCTGAGATTGGTGCCAGGTGATGGGCATGCGTAGAATGGCCTGGCCCTGGGGTGCTGGGAAGGAACACATTCCCTGCCCCAGATGCTCTTCTCCGGGCCCCAGAGGAAGGGGGACATGTTTTTGGCATTATTCTCGATGCCCCCATGACTCAGGTAGGATCTCTACTCTGTGACAAAGATGGAAGAGAACAATTCATCCTTTTTCAACAAGGTGCTATTGACCTTTTGGGCAGGACAGTTTATTATCCCTGGCCCCTGCCCACCACATGCCACATTGCCTCTTAGTCCCTGAGACAACAAAAATGCCCAGAAACTTACCCCCTGGGGGACAGTACCACTCCCAAGCTTTTGCTGCCAGGATGTCAGATTGCCACAGACTTACTCATCCTCTAGGAACAGACCAGGCCAGAGCTTTGTCACCCCAGCTACAGTGCAGTGGCGTCATCATAGCTCACTGCAACCTCAAACATCTGAGACTACAGTCACATGCCACCAAGCCAGGCTCATTTTTTATTTTTTTATAGAGACAGGGTCTGGCTTTTATTCAGGCTGGTCCCGAACTCCTGAGCTCAAGCAGTCCTCCTGCCTCAGCCTCCCAGAATACTGGGATTATGGGTGTGAGCCACCATACCTGGTCCAAAGCTCTTTTTTATCCTGATAAATTTGTATTAATGAAAATCAGATTCTATTTGTGCATTACTGCCTTATCTGATCAAGTTGGCAATTCTCATCTTCAGACCTGATGGCTGTACTGTGACATTTCCCCATTTAGTTTACAATTTGTCAATATGAGTCCTCTTTCTGAGGGGCTTTTCAAGTACCCAAGCTGTGGGATGGGTGGCCTGCATGCCATATGTGAAGGACCACGGGAACCATTGCTGTAGGACTGCAACATGCGAAAGGAATGGAGCATTTCAAGTGGGGACTTTGGCCCCATGGCCACAGAGATTCCAAAAGTCAGATGTGTTGATGGAGTTGGCTGACCTAAGGGCTGTACCCACCAGCCTTGCTCATGTGGCATTTTTCCTCCTGGCCCCTAAGTGTGGTTCTTGCCTCTTAGAGTTCCTGTGAACCAGTGGCTGAGGCCAGCTGGTGCCCGAGGTAGAGGGAGACCCGTGATGTCAAAACTGTCACTTTCTGTAGTGTGTCCAGGGAACCTGAAGAGGAGAGATGGGTCACATCCCTTTTGCTGTTAATTATTATCCTTTTGTAGATTATCCAGGTGGGCCCTCTTCCTTCCTTGTGTCCCGTGGATTCTGTCCTCCTGTGGATTCATGATGGGAAGGAGGAGCGCTGTATTCATTTCCATGCTTATTGGCATGGCTGGTTTTCTCAGTGGATGCGACTATTAGTTAAAATTAGATTTGGGGATTTTCTCGATCATCATCTATTTTGTCTCCCACCCACTCACCCCAGGGGATAATCAAGAATTACCTATGAGCATCTTGATTTCAACTTTAAATTCTTTTTAATAGTTTATTGAGTCTACCAGTCTGTGCCTTTAATATTCCTGCTTATTTAAAAAAAAAAATACACTCTTTCTAAAACTTGAATTGCAGTCAGTCATTCCAGGTTTCAGATGCCCCCTTCCTATCTCTGAGATCAGAGGCTCCATCACAGTTGGCCTTTGACTTTTTTTCCTAAGTAGAAATAGGAATTTATTGTATCATTGGCTGGGAGAGATACTGAGGAAGTCACAGAATCAAAGGGAGGTCTGCAGGAGCCAGGACCTGGGGACTGGCAGGAGGAGCCCTGTGCCACCAGGACTCAGCTCCCTGTCCCCTCCCTTGCTCTGCCCCTTGCCCTCGGCTCTGTCACCTGCTCCAGTGTAGCCCTTTCCCTGTACCTGGTGACAGCACCACCCCTGTCTAGCAACCCCGTGGAAAGAGTCGTATTCTCTCAGTGTCTCTCTGTTGATTAATACTTGTAATCACTGCCCATAAAAGAACCACTTTGAGCTTAAGCAAGCCCTGTGCACTCTCCGTAGGTGACATTAATAAAGGAAAGATCACACGGGGCCTTTGTGTGCCCCTCACAGATGTGAGGCTGGGGGAGACTGATTGGGGTAAGAGCAGAAGTAGAGGAGGGTCTGACTCATCGGGTCCCTTAGAGATCAAATGTGTTATCAGGAGCCCCTGTACGTGGAGAGAATTATATGGACGCATTTATGCCAATTAAGACGATTTACATTTTCTTGATTTATTATTCTGTAGTTTTTTTCCCCTTTCTCCCAGCTTCCTCTCACCCTGCCTCCCCAGTTACTGCTAATTGAGTCAGTAATACCCAGAAAATCTCTTCCTCTGCTTTAGAATGCAGAAACTGGTAGATTAATGTCTTTCCTTCCCAGAGGTGAAGAGCGCTGAGTGTAGAGCCTGCTTCTGCCCCATTTCTCTCATTACCAGTTTTCACACCGTGTAGTTACCTGTATTTGGTCTTGTCTGACAGCTTCCTCCTGTACATGCTCATGGCCTCTTAAAGCAGGGGCGAGACTAGAGGTCGTCTTGCCTGGTGGCCTCTAAGCAGGGACATGTCTGAGTCCCTGGAGAGTTTTCCGGAACAATCACGTCCAGGCTGACACCTTGGTCAGTCCACAACTCAGCACAGCTCATGCATGAGAAGGCCACACTCTCATTGGGTGCTAGTTACAGCACAAAGTGATGCTGCAGGAACCACGGCGGGGAGAAGATACACAGTAGCAGCCAGATGTGAGCCTCCAGGGCAGACCCCAGGGCTGGCAGCAGAGAGGAGGAGGGGTCAGGAGCGTGTTTCTCTAGATCAAGGGGACACTGACTACAGCTTACAGAGCAGCCGCAGAAGACCCACAGCAGGGCACCTCCTGGAGACTCCCCTCTGGCTCAGCCTGCCGGGACCTGCATTGGCCACTGCCATTGAGTTATTCATTCTAATTGCTGTTGGAGCACAGCTGAAGCACGTGACCTAGAGAGGTTAGGTTTCCAAGGATATTCAAGAAATATCTCCAGACCCTTTGCTCACTTTTCTTTCTACATCATTGATCAGGCTGAGCTATTTGTCAGAAACCCAGGGCCCTGCACGTCTGGCTGTTGCGCTATGCCTGTCCCGAAGGACCGCGTGCTGGTGGGGCTCACACACTCCAGACACGGCACTGTGACCTCCCTCAGGAAGGGCCACCAGCATGGTGCATGCTGAGGAATAAAGGCTTTGTTTGCTTTTTGAAATCCCTGAGGGAAAAGGGGAAGAACAAGTATAATGCAGAGATAGGAAGGATGAGCAGAATTCTTTATCACGGTTGCTGGAACCATCTCTCCAGCTTCAAGTCTCTTAGGCACTTTGATGTGCTGCTGTTCTAGGGTGTTGCTGAGTGCGGGGAGTTGGGTGCGGACCTGGGGTCTGCTTCCTGCAGTGGGCTTGGCTCAAATGGATTGTCCTGCACCCTTGTCAGGAGATTCCTCTTAATAGAGTGTCAGGTTTACAGGGCGGTTGGCTGGCTTCCCAGGGTCAAGTTCACTGGCCCGGAAGCTCCCTTTGACCTCTTTCTGTGGAGCCATATATACTAGTCATTGTGGAAAGCGGTTTAAGATTCTTGCACCTATATATTTACATGCAGAAAACAAATGGAGACGGGGCGGGACGGCTTCTAAATCCTACCTAGCTTCAGTACTCGTATTACACACGTCAGAGGGAAGCCCATTTTGGCAAGAGGAAGAAACAACTTGGGGTGTGTCCCTTCTTTCCTTAGAGCAGAATGAACGTGTTGCAGGAATAGGAGTTTTGAGAGCTGTTTAAATAATGAGCTGGCTCAGACTCTGGGGCGGGCGGGGGCGGGGGGAGCGTCCTGGGCTGGCGACAGAGGGAGCTAGATGACGTCTGAGCCCTGCTTGCATCCTTGTAATGAGACACCTTCTTGCCGTTTTCCCGGCAGGCCCGGTACCTGTCCCCGCGAGTCCGCCGACGAGTCCACGCTGCCCTTGCATCTTGTTCCACCTCGATCCTGATCCTGTCCAACCTGGTGTTCCTTGGGGGCAATCAAGTGGGGAAAACCTACTGGAATAGGATCTTCATACAGGGTAAGTTTCCCGACGGTGCTGTTTTCAGCCATTTTCTTGTTTTCCACACACGCAGTTGGTATCATGGATGGGATTTGGGGAAGTCGTTCATTGTGAAGTTCGTGGTGTGTGACCTCTGGACATGCCAGTCAGGAACAATGACCTATGTTCCGCTATGACTTTAAGTGTCCCCTGTTTTCGATGTGCCGCGTTATCTACCGCATGTGATGCTTATTTAGCACAATGTGCTGTCCCTGCTCTCCCAAGCTCTACATTGCCTTCTACTAAGTAACTTTTCCACTTAGTCTTTCTTGATCTTCCCTACTGCTGCGGTTTGAGAGTCCCCTCCAAAACTCATGTTGAAACTTAATCCCCAACTGGCAGTATTGAGAGGTGGGGCTTTTAAGAGGTGGCTGGATCATGAGGGCAGGATCCTTGTGAATGGATTAATCCGTTCATTGTTAATGGGTGAACGGATTCATGGGTTATCATGGAGTGGAACTGGTGGCTTTATAAGAAGAGGAAGAGAAGAAGGCCCTCACTAGATGCCGCTCCCACAACCCTCTCCACCTCCATAACCGTAAGGAATAAATTCCTTTCCTTTATCAGTTACCCAGTTTCAGGCATTCTGTTATAAGCAACATAAAACAGACTAAGGCACTTACTCTCTGCAGATCCCAGCCAGTAGTATACTGCAAAGTCTAACATTGTTCCATTTGCTACTCTGAACGTCCTACTAGAAAATGTCCTAGAAGCTTCCTATGTGCTCCTGAAGCTGGGGGCATGGTGTCCGTGTTTGCCCGTAGCTCTTGGTTGTGGATATTTTTGTCTGAACGCTAGCAGCCAACCTTATGTTTAATGTACATCGAGTGGATTGTCTCAGTATCCACAGCAAAGCCATCCCTGCAGCAGGCAAAATGCTCGTGTGCGTGAGTTCTGAAAACGTTGCATTAATGATTGATCATCACGTATTTATGGTCCCCGTATCCCTTGGGCTAGGACTAAGAGTTCCATCATGTCCTTAAGAGAATTGGGAGATTTGGATACTCAGTGTATCCAATTCACTATGTTTTAAAAGAAAAGATCCCTGTTCTGTTTCCCCGACTGGCAACACGGTCTTGCGCTTTTGGTTTGGGAAGCTTTGCCAAGCGGTGATGATGTCACTCTGCACGGCTGGCCTGTCAGCTCCACATCTGGGTCCCTGAGGAGCCGGCGATGCTTTAGGCCCTTTTCACACCATAAATAACCCCGGCACAGCTGCGCGATTGCAGAATGCCAAGTCGCAGATCTAAACTGTGGCAGGCTGGGGTGAACCAGGTTTAAAGGGCCATGAGAGAGCCCTATTCTACTTTAATCTTGTCACTAAAAAAACCCCTCTTTGATCTTGCTTTCTGTAAGATGTTTCAGCTAGTAATTCCTGGAAAGACCGTGTACTTTCTAAAGCTGTCCTTTAGCAGGGACAGGAGATGATGGGTGCAGAGGATCTAAAGATAAAGGTGAGTGCCAGTGTCTTCTACTTTTCTTGCCTCCTGCCATGGAACCTAGTACAATGCTGAGAACACGTGACTGGAGGAAAGGACTGACTTGGGGTTTGCTTGTCACATAGAAGACTCTGATTTTTGTTTCAGTAAATCAAATGTATTGGTGCTACTTGCCAGGCACTGAAAATACAGGGATTGAAAAAAGCACACACAAATGTGGGTGCCAAAGACACAAACAAAAATGTGGCTGTAGACTCAGACCATTGCTGTGCCGGATGTATAAGTGAATTGCTGGAGGTCACAGGACAGAGTGGCTGTCTTTCCGTGGACGGTGGACTTCCCAGAGGAGGTGGCGTTTGAATTGCAGCAGTAAGTGGGCATTTGCCGGGTGCAGGAGGCAGGTGTATTGGGGTAACTAACACTGGCTGCTGTGTCAGAAACTCCAGAATCTTAGTAGTTTTTCCCCATAGAAGTTTCTCTCACAGTGCAGTACAAATCCAGTGGCTTTTTCTAAGCAGTGACTCCAGTACCTAGAAGGTTTGTTTCCATTCTCCACTGTCTAGTCCTGGAACCACAGAGGGGAAGAGGATATGAGGCTGGTGCGCCAGGTGCTAAATACCTCCGCCAGCAGTGACATGTGACATTTCTGCTTACACTGCGTTGGCCAGAGCCAGTCACATGACCAACCCAAGTGCAGGGACAGGCGGATATCGGGAAGCAGGCAGGTGTCGGCGTGCATCAGGAACCTGTGGCAGAGCAGGAGAGGCACATGTGCGCCCAGCTGGAGGTGCCCAAGAGGCAGCTGAAAATATGAACTGGACTTGGGGCAGAGGTGATGTGGGAGCCAAGGGCATAAAGGTTGTAGGTGAGGCCCTGGGGTGGGTACTGTTAGCCAGGGAGCTGCGTGGAGTGAGAACTGGGTAGAAGGTGGAACCCGGGAAGGCCAGCATTTAAGGGGACAGAGAGAAAGGCAGAGTAGCTATTAACATAAGATGTTCTTTTTGCTTCTCAAAGGCAGAAAGATCAAAGCGTGACTTGCGCAGCATCCTGTAGAGTTAACGTCAGTCACGTGGGATCAGGGCTCTGAAAAATCTGGTCTGCCCCCTCCCATCCTATAATACGCTGAAATAAAAAAAAAGAAAAAAAAATCTGGTCTGCTCTTATGTGGATCCCACTGTGTTCTATGCTTGGATACAGTGTGTCCTCTACGGACTCAGGTGCCAGAGTCCTGGGGACTCGATCCTCCAAATACAGAGGGCTCTGGGGAATCCTTTTTCCTCCGGGTTCTGAGGCCAAGAAAGGTCAGCTTAGAAGGCATCTTCTGTCAGGGCTTCTCGAAATGAACCTGTTTGGATCTCAGCTGGCCTGTCACATGGGCCTCCTGAGTCAGGGAATGTCTGCTGGGGGTTTGGCAGGTGCCCATTTGTCCGTTCTCTGCTGTGGGTCCTTGTCCCTGAGTCGCGTGGTTGAGCTGTCTCTTGGAGGAAAGCGAACCAGATGGTGCCGAATTCCCCATCTTGAGGACTTTGGATTTTGTCTCATGACTAATTTGATAAACTTGACGGAGGATTAATATGAATATTCATGTTTTGGTGCAAAAAAATGACGAGTGTATTGGATGCTTCCTCTGACTCTGCTGGAGGCGTTAATATATTAGCTTTATAAAATAAAAAAAAAAATCTGAACTCTGAAACTCATCTGGCCTCAGAGGTTCTGGGTAAGGGATCGCGGACCTGTACCTGTGGCTGCTGATGAATGAGCCAGGACTTTGGCAGCCTTGTCATCTCTGTCCTCTTCCTTTGGGCACATGATCAGTTCCTGTTGCTCCAAGCCCCATCTCTACACACTGGCGAAAATACAGTGAAGTAAGTGGGGAAGTCTGTCTGTAGGGGATGGAGAGTGTTTAAGCTCAGTATCAAGATTTCCAGGTGTAACAGAAAGGTGACCCTGGCCTCCGTGCCCTGATGGATTGGGACCCGCTGCAGGGAGGAGGCAGAGTCACTAGCACCGCATCCCTCTCATGGAGCCACCTATATGAGTCCTGGGGAGGAGCAGGAAGGAGACAGACAGGTGTCTGGGGTACAGGGATTATGGAGCAGAATTGCAAAAGCCTCACAGCTGATGGGATGCGGATACACATGTATCTTAGAAGATCCATTCTTGCTAATTCCCAGGGAGCCGTTTCCCAGCATTACTGATGTTCTTAAAATTATCGCAGGATTAGCCTTAAAATTATCTCAGGAATTGTCTTAAAATCATTATCTCCCTGTCTCCAGTTCACTGAATTTAGCCATAGATTTGTTTGTCTAAGCTACAAGGTTTATTTTAGTGGCTTCTATAAAAGTCACTGTCCTGGTCTCTGTAGGTGATAAGGGTGATGTGAGGCTCTGAAACCAGACCCTTCCCTTTCTGCTGTGACCCTACCCTCCCTCTGTCCAGAGGTGGTGTCTGAAGCCAAGGGATAGGAATGCTGAGCAGCAAATCTAGGGCTCTGTTGGTGCGTGTCATGCACAAAACATTTTTTGTCAACAGGTGTTACCTCTCCTGCTGAGGTTGGAGAAATAATGTTCAGTTTATTCAGCAGAGAATAAGGAATCTCTCTTTTTGCTTTTTAAAAAAAAAAAAAACTCCAAATTTTTACTGTTCAAGTTTGCTTCAAGCTGCTTGAGGAATGTGAATGTTTAGGCCCCAAATGCTTTATTTAAATGACTTAGCTGGTCTGTGTATCTGAGAAGAGTGTGGCTGGGAACTTGGCTCCAATGCTGTTCCAGGAGGGACTCCACTGTGTCCTGCTTTTCAGAGACAAATGTACGTTGTTTCTTATGTAACCCTTTGGCTCTCGAAAGCATTTGTTGGTAGAAAGAGCTTTCTCATGTCTATCTTAAATCTTTGACGTTGAGGTGCAGTTTCTTTGACAAGCAATTGACTACTGCTCTGTAATTGAAAGATGTCAATGAGTTCTAACTCCAGATCTGTGAGGCCAGTCCTCATATGCTAAGCATCTAAGCATCCTGGCAGTGCTTTCCCCGTAGGCCTGGTGGAGAAAAGATATTCAAGGGGATGGGTATACATTGGGAATATATCTGGTCTTGAGAGGGCTGAGAGCTTTATAATGTTTGTCTGGCTGCCTAGGATGGTGGTTCTTCTGAAAAGTCTATCTACTTTTGTCCAAGGAAGCCGTGGACTTTGTAAAAATGGAACAAAACATTTCCTAAGAGGTTGGGCTCCAGATCCTGTGTCCAGGGTGTTGCAGTGATGGGGGCTTGGTAGAGACGTGACATCCACGGAATGTTCTCCTGCCTGACTCCCCATTGCACACACACGTGCACACATACATGTACGTGTATCTTTGTTTTTCCTCCTTCTAGTTCCCAATCTATTTTGGCAAACCCTGCCTCGACCCTTATCTCCTGGAATGGCCCCATGCACAGGCAAGAAGAATTTGGTTCTTTTCCCCTTCAGATTGCAGTGGGAGAGGAGCGGGTAATTTTCTTATGCAGGTCCCCATATTTGCTTGCTATTTCTAGCTGAGAGAGAAGA